TGCTCTTAACATGCCCCCACTTCAGAACCAAAATAGCCAAGTCTCATTCTTTTTGTCCCTGGTGTGGAGGAGTCTAATGTTAAAGGTGTCTGTTTTTTAGCCTCAAACCCAACCAAACTTGGGTATAACCCATTTCTCTCTTGTAGCTGGTTACACGTAAAAGCTGTGAATTGGTGTGCTCGGTTGCATTCTGCCTGACACTTGACTGCAGAGCGGAATGGTGTGTATTTTGAAACAGCGTATTTGAGGGGTTTCCTGTCACTTTTTTTAACAAGCTGGACTGTTGAACGGGACCTGCTTTTTGTATTTGAAAATGGTAGAAAGCTTGTAAGCTACACTTGGAGGAGGGAGTGGATGGTTACTAATTGTATAGTAGTGTTTTTATATACAGAATGTACAGATCCTTTGACAGATGTATGCTTTTGTTACTTTAATAAAAATGTAGCAGTATAAATGAGCCTTGTTTTCTTGCTGGGAACTATTGTGTGCTTGCAAAGAGGGTGAGGGTTGGGATTGCAGCCTAAATCCCGTACTGTGAATGCTGTGGGCTTGGTTAAAGTGTGGATGACTGTTAATATCCAGCTGTGTCAAGGAGGAGGTTTAGAGCAAAGCTGCTTAGTCAACATGCTGACTGCAAACCTGGCCCTCTAAACCTGAGGAATGCAGGCTGAGAATTGGTCTGATGACTAATGTGGGGCTGTGTGTGTCCTGCCCTCTCCTTCGCCATGCTGACTACGGGGTTCTGGCTTGAGCAGCAGGGGATTTACTCAGTGCAGGATTGTAGAGACCGTGTGTCCTGCCAGGGCATGAAGGTGTTACGTAGCCGACTGCCAGATCTCTTACCCAACCCTAGGAATGGCATAAATGAAGTTTTGGAAAGAAGAAATTAATGATCTGAGTGAGGCGGAGGGGCAGCTCCTGGTTAAGCCTCCCTGCCCACACTGTCCCTTCCAGGGGTGACTGAGCCAGCGGAGGAGGAAGGGCGAGAGATCATGGGATTAAAATGTTCAGGCATGTGGAGGATGCTCTGGGCCTGTCATGATAAAGGCAGCCAGGGCTGATTCACGGGAGATCCTGTTTTGGCTGTGTTGAGAGGCTGGTGACTGCAGCACGGAGCTGTAACCCTGCTCCCTAGGATGGGGGTGTCCAGCTCATGTGTTTAACCCCCAGCTGCACTTGTCTTCAAGCTGACCTGATGTAAGGACCTTAGTCAAACTGGCTCCTGCTAGTTTCACCCCAAAATGCCATTTGTGTGGTGTTCTGTTAGAGCTTGAGTTGCAGCCTGCCAGGGTCCTTGTGACCCTCCCCAACCTGCTCCCTGTGCCGCTGCCCTCCTGGGGTGGTGATGCCAAGGTGGAGGGAGCACAGGCCTGGTCCCATCCCTCTCCCTGGTGTAGGCAAAGCAGCTTCCTCCCCTCCTGCTTTTATCGTAACATGCCACCTCCGAGAGGAAAACAATCTGTGGGCCCGTTTTGGTGCTCTGTCAAAGCCGCTCCTTTTTGAACTCATCCCTTCATTAGTTTCCATAAACACACCCAAATTGCTGCTGCTTGTGAAACAGGGCTGTTTGGGAGGAATGGGCGTCCCAGTTAGTTGCTGATTAGCTCAGGAGTCATCTGGGTTCAAAGGCTTGGTGAAGTCAGATGATGGTGGCCTTCCTCCCTCTGGCTTGTCTGGACCAGCGTGGTCTGCCCAGACCTGTGTGCCGTGCTCCGTGGCCCATTTTCAGGCTGGCACAGCCCAGGCCATGGCCAGCATGGCGTGGTCCTGCGTGTCGTGGCCCGTGGCTGGCATTTGGGCCAGCAGGCAAAGCCGAGATCATCTAAAATTTGAGTTGCTCGCAGCCAAGATAAAAATAGAGCTCTTACGCCATGGGGTGCTGAGTGAGGAATCAACGCTACCTGCACCACAGCCAGACCCCCCCGCTAGCCTTTTAATGCAGACTCATCTACTATTTTTATTTTGCTCGTCATTTTTCTTCTGGCAGGATGGTTAGGTTGGGGGTGCGTCTTTATCTGACACCCCCCCCCAACACTTTTTAAGCATTTTGATGCTGAGCTGCAGCTCTTGGTGCATTTTCTCATTGTGGGATCCCCGAGCACATCACGGGATCAGCTCGGGGGCACAGGAGGAAGGGAGTGCGGAGGCACAGCCAGGGGATGCACTGGGGATCCAGCTGACCTTGGGCATGCTGGAAGCAGCTCGGAAAAAGGCTGAAGGTGACTAAAACCATGCTCACCCACCGCTGCCCACCTCCTGCCTGTCGAAATCTGGACTTGTTTTCTGCTGAGCCTTTTGCTGGGTTTTTGGGGTCCCTTTTACTGGTGATTTTTTAATCCAGGCTGGGCAGGGAAGTGTCCGATTCAAGGAGCCTCTGTAACTAGAGATGGATGTGCTGCATAAATGAGCATTTGCCTTTGACGTGTCCTTGGTGAGAGCTCAGCCCTTTGCCCGGCAGACCTGCCTGCCCACCTGCCTGCTTCCCGGCACCCTGCAGCAGAGATGAGCTCTGCCCACACAGCGAGGTCCAGGACTTAAACCCAGAGAGTGTCCCCATGTGTGTGATACCCACCTAGAAACAAGTTATCCCCCACAAAAACCCTGCTGCGGGCAGGAAGGGCAGCACGGGTGATGCTGGCTCTCAGGGGAAAACGCTCTCCTCCTGTCCCAGCAGTGTGGAAGGGCGTTTAATGCCTATTGAGAGTAAAAAGTTAGGTGGGCTTTAATGTCCTGTCCCCTGCACTGATGCGTTTTCCCCCTGCTATCCGTGCAAGGCTTCCCAGGCGTCTGCGTGCTGTAGCAGGGCTGTCAGTCCTTCCTCGCAGGCGCTGGGGCAGTTTTGGGGGCTGGTCTCTTTGGGAAATGCAGATTGTGCAAAGCCCGAATCAGCCTTGAGGAACGTCCTGACCCAGCAGCAACAACCACCACAGGACAGGGTCCCCTGGGTCCGTGAGGATGTTTTGCTTGATTCATGGCAAAATGTTTGATTTTTTTGTGCGTGTCTATGTGCTCCTCTTTCCTGGGGTCCCTTTAGCAGAAATTGGGCGTTTCTCTGTTCTTCAGTTATCAGAAAAGCAACGTCAGC